GAGTCCTACTGAGTTTACGTTTTGACCCACCCCCACCTGTCCGGTTTCTGACAGTTTGAACGGTAAATTCTAACGTTCCGTCCGCTTCAATTTGCGCGTTAGATTGAATAAATTCGTCGAGAAAATCAGCGAAATGTTCAGAAATTTCACGCTCATCTTCTCCTACAGCGAAAGCGATGTGATGCGCTAATGCTGATCCTTCTCCGGAAAGCTCCAGTTGAACAAAATCACCCCGCTCCGTTAAAGAAACGGTTCTGTCAGCCAAGTCTGACAAAATGTTCATCACCTGGGTGTAAAAATCAGCCAGACTCGGAGGATCATCAGACGGGGAATGAGGACTCATCTCCTGATTTCGTAATTATTAAATCTTTCGTGAGATATTTCATTTTGATCTGGACTGGTTGAAGGTCCAGGAGCTGGAGAGGAGRAGGGAGGTGAAGGAGCGTGAATCCCCTCACCGTACTGGAATGCGCTGTGGCTGTGAGGARCCGAGTTTGATGATGATGATGATGAAGCCTCCGGAGCTGGAGAGGAGACAGGGCGCGGGGAAGGATCGGGGGTTGCGTTGATTCGGGAGATGACGCCTCAGCATCATACTGAACTGTGGGGGTGATTTGCAGGTGGATGCCTGRGTCTTGTTCACGGTTTTGTTCTGGGGAGCGCGCGATTCGTAATGCTAATAACGCATCATCTAAAATACTAAATAAATCAGGGTGCGTTGATTGGCCCGTTGTCGGGTGTGCTATTTTGAGCACTTTCATCAGCAGCAGCAGCGTTTTCCTGATCAGACTGTTGTCTGACGTGAGCGTTTCTAAGTTCAGATAATGAATTATTCGAAGCGTTAACGAGTAGACCGATTGGAGTCTGGTCCGGATTTGTGCTGTGAATTTGAGGAGTTTCGAAGTGGTCCCGATCAGACTGTTGTTGTTGTTGTTGTTGATGCTGTCCCGCAATTTCGTTAYGTAATGCTTGGATTAGACTTTCTGTCTGATTTGGTGAACCTGGGGGTGAATTCTGCTCAGCGTTGTTTAAAACATTTTGTAATGATTGACTCAGAAMGGAAATGTCACCAGCTTCTGAGGTTKACGRAGAKTTCTGAATAAGATTTTGTAATGCCTGTTCTAACGCATGAAAACAATTTATTTCAGTATGATCATGATTTGACAAACTAGACATTTTTTCAGCTAATATTCAAACAACCTTATGCAGAGTTCAGTTAAACGCAGGATGGTCAGAAGGCAGTGACTTTTCAATTCATCTATGGTGGTTGAATGATCTAAAAATAAATAAAAACAAACAAATAAATAAATAACTTTCCTAATAAAAGATGCRTGCGTGTCAGTGAAACGTTGAAAAATATAAAAAATACTCACTTCTTGTTCCAGTTCTTCTTCTTCTTCTTGACAGAGACCCGCACGGGCCCGCTCTGCGTCGGAGAGTCCTCCTTCTCACTCGGAGAGCTGGTACTCTACACGTGTGGATAGGGTTCGGTCGGACCAGGTCTGTCTGTGTAGGTAACGGTTGGTTCGGGCGGGTTGAGTCGGTCGGGTCAGGTGACGTGCCGGGGAATGGATCAAGCTGAAAAGCCTCCATCTCGAAAGCTGCTCTTGATTTTTCATTAAAAAAAATTATAATTAAAACCTTAATCAATAAAAACAATATACAGATAATTTCTGTAGAGAAGGATGCGATCTTACACAACGCACCTGGATCTTCAGTGCTCCGTAGATTCTGAACAAGGCTCGGATGGACAGGTTCAGTCTGCCGGTTCTGACGGGTCAGATGGGCTGGACTCGTACCTGGGTCTGACTGAAACCCCTGYCTGTGGAAAGTTACTGTGTTTTTTATAAAATAAATCAATCAATTAATTAAATATAATAAATAAACACAATACAAAT